CGCAAACGTACTTAACAATTTAAAAAAGTCAGAAATATTATCGTTTATACTCGGCTTATTCTTTTAAGTCAAAATAATTTGAAGAGTTTAACATGTAGCGCATTATATGAATCCATAATTAAAGAAAAAACCTTACTTAAAAATGTATCATCACATATTTAGTATGATAAAATTCAATAAGTACCTACTTGGATAATAAAGTACTGATTTTAATTCTGCAATTTATTACCAATATAAGATTATTTTTAGTTTTTTTAACTTTTTATTAGAGAGATCTTTAACATGTAAGCTGTATTTTATTGGAAATTCAAAAAATCCTGAGATTTCATGAGATTTGCAAAATCCAGCCGCAATCCTGAGAAGAGTCCAAAAATCCTGAAATCTCAGGACAAATCCTGAGATATGGTAATACTGAACGCTCGTGTGCGTGCGCGCCGCTCGTAATACTGAACGCGCACACATGCGTAGTACTAGTAATTGATATTAGGTTTGAATGGTAGCCTCATATTGAGAATCATCGTCACCAGCCTATTAATGTCCCCACTGCTGGGGCATAGGCCTTCCCTATGGATGGAATAGGGAGATTGGGCCATGACTAGGGCTGCCATCCGTCTGGGTTTTCCCGGATTTGTCCTACTTTACGGGGCGTCCGGGGAGCGTCCGGGCGGGGTTTTATTAGTAGTCCGGGTTTAAAAATTTAAGGCAACGCATGAATGGCACTTGGTGCTGCAAGTGTCCATGGGCAGCAGTGGCCACTTATTATGAGGTAGACCACCGCACCGACCTCTTTTGCCTAGATCATCATAAAAAAGTTGATTTGTGATATTTTTAACTGTTATTTATTGGTCTGTCCGGGTTCTGGGCTCCAAAATCCGGGGTTATCACGCGTCTTATCCTGGTTGGCACATTTTAGAGATGGCAGCCCTAGCCATGACCCACCACGCGGGCCCAGTTCGGATTGGCGGGTGCTACCGACTGCAGATGCAGCCGGGAGCAACGGCTTAACGTGCCTTCCGAAGCACGGAGGCACTCGAGATAGAAGATTTTTGGTCACCCATCCAATGACTGACCACTGCGAAAGTAGCTTAACTCTAACGAGCGCAGCAAAACGCGCTAACAACCTGCGCCGTTGAGCTCCTCACATTGAGCATATTTGCAAAAAACTACGTAGCATAGCAGATTAATAGACTGAGAAGAAAGATAGACTGGGTAGATTAGCAATAGGGATGATGACGGGGTACAGTAAATGAAATTCTATTTAGTCCGTCAGTTAGATGATCAAAAAATAATGGACACATTTTTTCTTTGGGCAATCAACCAAAAAATGACAAAGTTATAGCGCGTCAAAGTTTGGGAGTAGGGGCTCGTGACGTCACTTTTGAGTGAATTTTCACTTATAAGTGTACTCAAACGTGATGTCATGCGACTTTTCAAATCAATATATCTCTGCAATGTTTATATTATGTGAAAAAGGAAAAAATACGTGTCCAATACTTTTTCATAATCTACCTGATAAACGAAGAAAAAAAAATTAGTCATGATCCCTATTCTTAAGTACAAATAACCATTTCTAATTATAAGAATGTTGTATATGTCATTGGCGGGTTCTGTGATCACCTATGGAGTTAGTTCGTATGGGAGAACATTCAAAACACATATGCATAAAATATGTAGACTGCAAATAAATAAAATCAAGTTTATTTTGAGTAAACAACAAATATTTAGAAGTAATGCGAATGGAGAAAATATATTAAAATTTTGTGAAGTAATAAGTATAAGAAGACAAAGATAGAGATGCAAATATTAAATGATGAAAATAGTTATATCCCAAACATAGATGAATCTCGTGAAGCGATATCAATCACTTATCTATGATCCCAAACTTAAAAGAGAGGATTATGCCAGTGAGACTGCGGTACTTAAAGGCTAGGAATATAAATAGAATGAAAATGAAGAAAATGAAAAAAATCTTTAATGCTTACAAGTTCCATATAAACATGTTGTTGAGTATTATTCCCTTTTAAGTATTGCACTTGTATTAGGGGATACTCGCTCTTTCGTCAATTTTTACATTGAACTTTAATATAACAATTATTGACATTAAAATTACATTCGAAAGAAAAATAGACAAGTTCCAATTTATCCCGCCCCCGTAGCATGAGCACCACAATTCACATTGTATCACGTGTCATATCGCGTCCAGCTGTCAAACTCCAAAGAATTTGACACAAAATATAGAATAGAATAGAATAGAAATATTTTTATTGCTCTCACAGTAATACACAGTTCAATACATAGTACAATGCGAAATGACAGCGTGAAGAGCAAATTGATGTGGCTCAGCATAAACTGCTTCGTTACAGAATGTCTCGGGCAGCGCTGGTTTTCAGCCACACACACTTCTCCTTAGATGAAAGCGAGAAATGCAAAAGAAATCCAACAGAAGTAGGTGGTACTCCTACGATCATATTGTGTATGTGTGTGTGTGTTTGTTTGTGTGTGTGCGTGTGTGTACGTGTGGGTGTGAGTGTGATGCAATGATTAAATAATTTAATTGTATGGTTAAAATTTAAATAAGGAGCAAAACAAATGAAAAGTTCCGTACAGTTGAGCAAGATTTCATTATTTGGTCGCCAAAAAAAGACAAGAAGATCACTTTACTTCTGTTGGGGCTTCGTCAATTACCTATGCTCTAAGCCTACTCTTAGGTCACAGAACCCTTAAAAATTTAATGGGACAAGTACAGATCACGTGACTTATTCGACAATTTTTGTATCGGCTGATGTTTATTTATTTTTATTTATTTATTTATTTATGGACCATATACACAGCTATATTAATACAAACAAACTTACACATATGCTTAAGTATTAGGATAGGAATATAACTGTAATTAAAGATGGCAGTTTTTTTTTTACATTTTCTACATACGGAATTTACTACACAACACAAATATTTGCCCAATCACAGAGCAGAACAATCACAACAGTCTATCATGCTCTATAATTATTTAAAAGGGGAGAACACTGCCTAATATGGTCGTAAGTTCAGAGAACCCCTTACGTACCAGACCCATTATTGGCAAACTAATTTTATTAACAATAATATTATTATGAATGTTCCTCAGAGAATAATGCATAGGATACAATACTATACTATACTACTAACTAAAATACACCGTTCTAGAAGCAGGGCTTGTTTACCGGTTAATTTTCAAACCTAAATCAGTATCAAGTACATTAGGAGCGTTTTATTTAGGTTTGGCTCTACCTTTACCTTAAAAAAACGGTTTTCCTAAAAAGCGAAATCAAACAGGTTTTGAATCAATTTAGCGGTTTTTAAAGGGTTTCATATCGCTCTTACTGACGGCATCGCCTTCGCCGTTTCAATTCAAAGTTATAATGATTTTATGTCAGTTTCTTTTCAACTACAGAGCGAGTGAGTGAAGTAGTGTGTCAGTAGACAACTACAAAATGAATAACTTGACTCACTAGACGCTAGCAAACGTGTCAATAAATGCATCAATCTCTGAGCATTAACAAGTTGTGACTTGATTAGTTCAAACAAAACAAACTTCAAGCGATGCCGACGCGTGCACGTGTAGCTCTGGATTAAACCGGTTTAATAATGTTTTAGGTACCGCTTTCATTTCGGACGTGCTCCGAACGAAACCTTTACTAAAAAACCGGTTTTAACCTTTATTTACCGGTATTTTCGAAACCGGTTACAAGCCCTGTCTAGAAGTACCTAGTTCATCAGTAAATTGTTTTATTTTTCGTATAACATAGGCTGCTGAACTAAGTTTACCTTTTTTTTATTTGATACGCTAGGGAAATGCATGAAATTGCATACCACATGGAGGTTATGTGGGACTCTCCTCCCCAGAAGGGGGAGGCCTACCCACTAAAACCCCAGCGATGGCCGCCATCAGGCATTGTACGGGGCCTCAGGATCGAGTATCGATCGAGTGAGGACCCGCAGCCTTTGCTCCCCTGCTTCCTACTGCGGAGCACTTCTCGGGGGAGTGTTCGCAACCTCCCCCATCCACCCTCCTACGACGACACCCCCCGGCCATCCATGTCGTCCCTCCCAGGTCGCTTCCATGAGCACAAGCTGAACTAAGTTTACCTGCTAACGGTGAAATATGATACCATTGCAATTTTGAATCTATGCAAAAATATCGTTGACTAATATAATTTAAGAGTTGAGACAGAGATATAGTACCTATGTTTTAAGAATGTTTTGAGCAGCTGATGTATTGTTCCATGTTACCTACGTACTTAGCATTCCTATGTGCGTGGTGACGCAATGTATTTACTATAAAACTTAAAAATAGGAATCAATGCTCATGTTTAAGTTCTGAGAACACTAGGCTGCTACGCTAACAGTCTGAAATCTGAAGCTGACCATATCGGACGGGAATTAATACGCGTACATACTTTGCAGATGTTCTGGAACACTGACATCGACTATTTAGAGGTAGGTGCTTAAGTTAAAAGTAATTTTATGATAATTATTTTCATTACTTGTGTGAATTATAATCATGAGACATACATCATGAGGTTCTGTACCTCAATCGGCAACAGTTTTGTCGGAATCTACTGGACGGTTAAACTGAATTCTGGTACGTATACATGTATGTCTGTGACCCAAATCATCATCAGCCTATTTATGTTCCCACTGCTGGGGCACAGGCCTTCCCTATGGATGGAATAGGGAGATTGGGCCATGACACCACCGTGCGGGCCCAGTGCGGATTGGCGGGTGCTAACGACTGCAGATGCAGCCGGGTGCAACGGCTTAACGTACCTTCCGAAGCACGGAGGAACTCGAGATAGAAGATTTTTGGTCACCCATCTAAAAACCGACCATTGAGAAAGTTGTTTAACTACAACGATCGCAGCCGAACGCGCTAACCACCTGCGCATCGTGACCCAAACACGGACGAACAAAGTCAGGTTTTATTGTATTGTATGTTGAATTTGCTAGTGCGCAGCTAAATGGTTTATGGTCCAGATGTTGGCTGGGGTGTGTACCTAGGTAATGAATTATCTATATAAGAGAAAAATAGTCGCAGGATTACATCGTATTAAGTTTCTGCATTCAATTTGGTTGTTTTGCATGTAAATTGTACCGAATGTGTTCAACAATTATATTATGTATGTTTGATATCCTTATTATAATTATCGAAGTATTTTTTCTCTTTTGCAAATGGCGCCTTACCAGTGGCGTAGCGTGCATTGGCGGGGCCCCGTATAAAAATTTATTTGGGGGCCCTTAGGAAGGCTAAAGATTTCTCACAAAAGAAAAAAATTATATGCAAGCATATAATTAAAAGAAATATTTATTCATCATCTGTTTCTATCTGTCACATTTTCGAAAATTTTACAAACAATTCAAATTAAATATATACTCTCCTTGCCTTTTTTTCGGCAAACTGATTTATTAAATCATTTATAGCTGATGATGACTAAATAAAACTAGTTTTTAACGGGTTAATGCACGAAACTTTATTTATTTATTGACGTTTCGCAGCCTTTACAGGCTGTTTCGTCAGAAATTTCGTCTTCATTTCATTCCTAAACCTAAGAAACAAATATGATGATGACTAATTCTTCTAAAGTTCTGACTCTATGGACAATAGTGACCAGGGATGGTTTATCATCGTATCGCCTGTACATCATTTATTGTGGGATTCCCCCGTTCAAGTAAATGACTTAATGATAACCGATGCAGGGTGTTGCCGACGCTCGCTTTACGCGGGAAAAAAAGAAATTGGTTTCTTTGTCTTTTGTCATTTCTGAAACAAAAATCCCAAGTTTTATTAATTTTAGCTTACGCCCGTTGGGGGCCCCCGTTACCCAGGAGCCCCGTATAATTGATACGGCAAATACGGCGGTATATACCTAAGCTTACCACCGCAATTGATTGCATTAAATAAGTATTTGTTTACAAAATAAAACGAGTATGCTTATGACCACACGACTGAAGCTGGGTGATGGTAGCTCGGGGGCCGCGGCCCGACTAATGTTGGCCGGCCATTGTATATATGGAGTGTTAGCCTCCGAATTTCACTTGCGTGATGTAGGCTTTCATACTATTGTGTTCGCAGCGCAGGTAGCGACATCTCTTGAGGAGGTGAGTGATTATTTCCTCCATGTTAGTTATATGTGGGGCATATAGATGTCGCCGCCACAGTTAGTTAGGATAGGTATGGAACACTAGCCCCTGCGACGGTGGGGTGCCCGTCGGAACGCGGATGCCCCATGCCTCTGGCGTGGAGATGAGCCCGCGTAGACTAATATGCGGGCACCGCCGAGTAGGCCTACGCGAGCCAGCGCCCTGCGCTTGCTCGTGGCCCGCTCAATTATGGCAAGGCGAAGTTCCCGGGGAGTTTAGTGGAGTATTCCCGGCTATCTCTTTAGCCGGGTGAGTGCCACACACCCCCGCTCACTAGCCCTGTGTGGGACGGTGCTTAAACACATTCTCCCCGTACAAAAAAAAATTGTGTGTGTCAGCTTCGACGCACGACCGGAGTTTACACTCTAAAAACGATTGTCTTTGAACAGACACAAAACAAAATCAAGTCCGAAGCAGTCGGTTACAAGTAGAGATACCTCAGGAATCGTCCCATGGTTTCGACTATCATAGGTTCCATGTCACACATTTTATCATTTAACATCAGCGATATTCATCATATATTTTATTATGTATTTCTGAAAACACACAATTTCAAAAATATCACACACTAGTCATCATTTTGTAAATATGTATTATAATTCCATCTGTACTGAAGATCACTATTCCAGAGTGCTGGACACTGACCAGCATTTCTCTATATTCTGTTATTTATTTGTTTACATTAATTTTGCTCCGATTTTATCTATTTTTAGTTTATTTATTTTATTGACATTTGTGACAACTTAATGTTTTTTATCCGTTGCCATGGCTAAAAGTGAAAGGTGCGCAGATGAGGTTGCGCACAAAAACGTAACGAGGTCATTTGTTCAGTAGATTTATACCTCACATTTTTCTCATACCGGGGCCTTTATATATGCAAATTGATTCTTAAGAAGAAAACTCGAAAAACATTTCTCATTATGAAACATTCTGCTGAAAAGTTTTCCCTGTCGCCAGCCCTATACCACTACGCCGTAATGCATTCGGCACTCGCTGCGCCTCGGCGCCGCTCGGGCTCGATCGGTACGCGCTCGTCTTTCCTCGGAAAGCTCTTTCAAATTCGGAACACAGTGATGACATATCCCTTTTGCATTAAAATAAATCATGAGTTTTACAGCAAAATAAAATAATAAAATAAGGCAAAATTTTAGATCATTCAATTCTTGCTAAAATACACCTCTCTGAAATTTATTTTAGACAAGCATTTGAAAACTTGTCATTATTTAAAAGTAGCTAAAGCCTTTTTTAAATTTATTCCAGATCTGGTGTTGGACTGCGTGGGCAGGCTGAGCGGGTGCAATTTCAGCGCGCGGATTAGAGCACCTACGAAGCAGCTAGCAGAAGCGCTGCAAGCGGCGGCTAGCCCGCTGCGAGCGCCCGGCTTACATCTTTCGCTCGTAACTCGAGGACTCCTTGCTAAGAGAACGTTTTTCCTTACAATTCCTTTCTTCGTCCTCTTGGACGGAAATTGGCGCGCTGCATCGAGAAGCAGGATTCGATGAAAGCGTAGCACCCCTCAATGAAATCATTCTTTGCTTTCGCCGAGACTCCAGCGATACCGACGACGCCCGCGGCGAGCTACAAGTTTAACAACCTCACTCCGGCGTGCCCTCTTCCCACACTTGGTGGACGCGTTAAATTCATCAGTTAGTTCCAACGATTTCAAGATGGGTTTTGGAAATGTTATTAACAGCATACCAGTGTTCGGTCATATTAAAGCTGGCGTCCACATGTTAACTGGGAATCCACGTGAAGCAGCTGAGGCTACTCATGCTGCAAATAGATCAACAGCAGCTGTGGCCGGAGGCGCCGCAACCGCTGTAGTTGTTGGTCCGATAGGAATGATCTTCGGGGCCATAGCTGCCGGCACAACAGTTTACTTTATATATTCCCTTGCCAATAACAGCGCCGTAGGTGTGTTTGATGAATTAGAGGATACCGATAAAGATATCTGTAAAAACGAATTTCCAAGAACGTCATTGTTGAAGACTGGATTACATGTCGGTGCAGATGCACTTAGCGGTGCTACTGGTGGAAATGTCGCCGCCAACATACCTAAGGCGGTAGGTAAATCTTTCCTAAAGAATGCAGAACCTGTTGTTGCTAAAAGTAAATTAAATTCTAGTGGCTCCTCTGGGGGCTACTCTAGCTTTACCTACACTAATACGTCTACTTCAGGAGCCAGTTCCAGAAATTCAAACTCTTACTCAGGCAACAAAAGTCAGTGCAGCAAATCTAAATCTAACGCGTCTAACAGTGGAAGTGGTGGGCAACCCCCCCAAAAAAATAGTAATTGTGATAGTAATCATAGTAATAAAAACAGTATTCATTATTGATATTACATATGAGTGAATTAGATCTAAGAAAAGAACAGGACATGTGCGAGCCAGACTCGCCCACCGAGGGTTCCGTACAAAGAAGGTACGCAACATAAACGGCTGTTTCTTTTTTTACGTTAACTTAGAAGGCTTATATTTTCACAGCGTCAAGGGACCATAGATTTGAGTATATGGTTTGAATTTCAACTCGATATGTCCACGCTTTCCCGAGATAAATGGTTTTGACAGACAGACGGTTAGATGGACAGACGTACAGATGGACAAACAGACAACAAAGTGATCTTATGAGGGTTTCGTTTTTTCCTTTTGAGTACGGAACCCTTAAATCACTAAAGGTAAATTAAAATATACAGCCTGCATTAGGAATATTCTGTGTTTCAAACAAAAAGGATTTTTTGGAGGTGACTTTCCAGAACTTTATGTATGTGGCCGAGATGGTGTCTGCCGTCACGAGATGTAGATCAGAAACAAAACCTCAGCCACGGCCGAATTACCACCTTCCTCGTACTGAAAATTTACAAATCGTTCTACAAGAAATTTTGGAGCCAAGTAGTGTTTGCAATGTATTCAACATATTTGAGAGTCTCCGCAAACATATTGAATAGGCATCATCCCTCACGGTCAACATCACACCCACTTCCAAACATTATTACCATTACTAATAATATTCATTCATTTAACAGTATTTAATTTTTAAACAAAATTAACTTGTAAAAATAAAGCCGGCAGATCAATTAAACTAAATTATTGACCAAAAACACTGAGGTAATTTCTGTATTATTCTGTTTGCACAGCAATAAAATATGAATATGAACAATCAATATGTTGACAGTTTTATTTCAATCTGAAATCATTTGCTGCTATGTGCATGGCGCCTTTTGTACAATTTTTTGTACTTCAGGCACTGCCTAACAACACCCGCTCCCTGATTCTTGTATTCCAACATCTAGCCAATTGTTGCCAAATTAGCCGTAGCCCAGAAAAACCCATTACAACAGCAATGCCTTTTCAGAGTTGTTATCCTTAAATAACGCTACTCCTCGCAGCCTGGTCTTCCAGACTTACCGCAAACAAGTAAATTTAGGTGTCTTCGTTGGTTATGTATATTTAGTGGCTGTTGGTGCTAGCGAGTTAATCAAGTTCGTGTTTGTAGTTGTTGGTTCCGATATCTGGAAGGGCGCTGTTCTGCCTTGTTGTTATTAAAGCGACTGTTTCTATTTATTTGAGTAGTATTGGTCTCGTTTCAGCACTCTACCTACCTACATACCTACTTACTTATACAGGCTGTGACAAAAGTCCGAAATAAAACTTTAGAGTTTGGTTGTGTTCCTTGTATAGAATTACCTACGAAAGTTTGACGCCTTTCAGACCACTTTTATTTTCTAACTAGTGGCCCGCCCTCGCTTCGCTTCGGTGTAGAGCTGTAGTGTAAACTATAGTTTTTGTTCTCAGGCTTGTGCTATAAACAATGACTTTATTTATATAATTACACGTGTTATTGTGAGTCAACCATAAAAGATAGACATATGCTGTTGCGGGATATTTTTTAGACAATTTTATGTAGAATATTTCCGTCACACATGATTTCTATGTAACTTTAACCATTAAGGCTGCACACGCGACGGAAGCTTAAAAAATGGAGGAACTTCTCCCGTTTTCCCAACATTTCCCTTCACTACTCTGCTGCTATTGATTGTAGCGTGATGAAAAGTATACTATAACCTGCCCAGGAGTATGAAGAATAATTGTACCAAGTTTCGTTAAAATCCGTCGAGTAGTTTTTGTTTCTATAAGGAACATACACACAGACAGACCGACAGACAGACAGACAAAAAATTTACTGATTGCATTTTTGGCATCAGTATCGATCACTAATCATCCCCTGATAGTTATTTTGAAAATATATTTCACGAACAGAATTGACCTCTCTACAGATTTATTATAAGTATAGATTAAATTAATAAAAATATCGTTTTACACCTGCCTATGACAACCCTATAAATGCGTACGATTACTACTACCTAAACAAACCCCCCTCTCTCCCCCAGGCGCCCCTGCGCCCTGCTCAGATACCTAAAAGTTTTTATTTCGGAATACATACCTACAAATTTTATTTCGGAATTCTGTAACAGCCTATATAAAAAAAGTTGATTATACGTTCTACTTTCCAGTTCGTATAACGTCATTTTTCACAATGCATTATTATCAAATGGAGCTGATACTAATGTACAAAGCAATTCTCCTGGTTCTTCTCAACAATCAACGTCTCTGAATCAAGAAAAACAAACTTTTACAAAAGAGGAATAGTAAGTTTACATTAGACTATTGTAACTGACAAGCCAAGTACTTAAAGTTGTTGATGCTGAGAATCCTGTCTATTATAACGCCTAGATCAAGCGAGATTATATTTTTACAGGAATAAAATTTCTTTAGATTTATGAATCTACTTAGTACCTAGTTATAATTTTTATTATTTTAAAGCATGTAACTGCTAGATGTTTAAATCTAAAGAAAATATAACTAGTAAAAATTCCACGCGGACCAGGCAGCAGACGGGACTCGAACCCGCACCCTTCGCAATCCGGGCGAATGCACTGACCAATTATGCTACCGCGGCCCTCACGGACCGCGTCGAAATTCTTCTAGCCATTCTTAAGCTGCAAGGCAGCGCCATCTCTTCGCATTTATAGGTAATCCACAAGGTCAAATGAATACTTTTACAAGTATTAAACATTTGAAAGAAGAAATAGCAATTACAGTTATAATTTTTATTATTTTAAAGCATGTAACTGCTTGATGTTTACATCTCAAGAAAATATAAGTAGAAAAAATTCCACGCGGTCCAGGCAGCAGACGGGACTCGAACCCGCACCCTTCGCAATCCGGGCGAACGCACTGACCAATTATGCTACCGCGGCCCTCACGGACCGCGTCGAAATTCTTCTAGCCATTCTTAAGCTGCAAGGCAGCGCCATCTCTTCGCATTTATAGGTAATCCACAAGGTCAAATGAATACTTTTACAAGTATTAAACATTTGAAAAAATAAATAACAATTACAGTTATAATTTTTATTATTTTAAAGCATGTAACTGCTTGATGTTTAAATCTAAAGAAAATATAAGTAAACACTTTATTTAGATTAATAAGTCTAGCAGTACCCTTAGTACGAGTTTTACAATTACGAAAACTATGATAGTTTTCGTGAGCTCGCACTCGTAGTAAGGGTACTGATTTTATTGTTTTCGTTTCTATACAAATAAACAGTGTTTAAATTCTATCATTAAATCGTTTGCGTCTTAAACTGGCCTGGTCGCCTGGTTTACATATGGAATCATCTTGTGGGGGAACAGTACGGACGTATCCTATTTATATAGGGTGAAATTGAATGTTTCTATGAAACTTCGTGAGATTGTTGGGTTATGTGTATAGAGTATGCCTGTTTTTTTTCGGATTTTTTTGAAGTATATTTTTTTCATGTATTTATTTATAATTTGTGTATTTTTATGTCCTTTCCTCCTTTTGAGTAGTTATTCATTTTAAACAAACAAACTTACATATCCAGTGAAAAACAACTAATAAATAAGCACTTCTAAAAAACGGAAAAACATTCCACCGCGGGTCAACGACCGACCGCGCCCGCCAGCCGTTGAGTGAATAGGTACTATAGAGTTCTACCCAGAATGGATAGAACCTAGGGGCGTAGACGATAATTGAAAAAATACTGATAGAGATAAATTATTTATTTTATTTTATCATTCAGGCGATTATAAAGAATTTTATCTAAATACGAGAGGAAGTTCTTGGTGCCTGAAGATCTAATCTAGAATGGAACCTTCTATCAAAAGACAGACGATTCCTTATTTCAAATTAAAATCATAACATTAACTTTTTAATATAACTGCCAACCGTAGGCATTGCAAAAGCAAAGAGTTTACTTAAACAAGGAGGCTGTAACGTGTCGGACGTCACATCCCTCCGGCACCTCTAAAAAAAAAATTGTTTTGTCATACCAGATGACCGAACAAATTTTTTTTTTCCTACCTACTACATCGAGAGGGTTCGACGGTCCTATCTAAAATCCCTACCTGCTTAAGGACATAAATACAACTGGGAGGTGGCCTTTACTACAGACTAGCCCTCACAATAAGTTTGCAAAACTTGCAAAAAAAAACTTTACGGGAAAAGAACCCTAACTGTTTGCAAAGTTTTATTGCAAAGACTTTACGGGAGCAAAACCTTAACAAAATCCCTCGCACATCTCCCTCCTAACCTTAACTTTACTTTACTTTACATCGACATCAGTCGGCAAAAACAAAAAAAACAAAGCTAACCCTAGCTATAACTTAAATTACCCAAGCAATTTTTTTTTTTTATCCCATCTATCAGCAAAACTTTACCCTATCCCATTTATTAAACCATTAAATATCAAGAAAATTTATATTTTGAAACTTCATTACTTCCCATACTAAGTAGATGTACGAAACGAAATTCAAACTATTTCCTAAGATTCGTAAACATTAACTGGATTTGAGCAAAACCTAAAGAATTTATAATTAATGTTTACTTTCGTACATCTTTAATAAAGATACAGACGTGGTCCACCACTTTATTGTCTTGTACTTTATTAGACACCCATGATGCGCAAACGTAATAGAAATTTTGGGTAAGGACATCTAGCATCAAACAAGATTAAACCCAATTCCCATGGAATACTAAGGGTTCC